CTTCCCAGACAAAATGAACAAACCAACCAAAAAAACACTGGAAAACTGACTCCAAGGTCTTCAGAGACTACAGTGGCTTCACAGCTGGCTTTTACAGTTCAGCCCTTCAGACGGCTTCCAGCTCCCACCACTCAGTAGTGTCTCTGTTTCAGTACTGCTCTAGGTTAACCGAACCAGTAGGCTGTGCATTTCCTGATCAGACATATACTTAAATAAGATGGGTAGTGGGAGACACACATATCTAAGCTCTCTTCACACGTGTTTATTAACTTGTGTAATGCTTACATGGTCCACAACTACAACGTGAACAGGGACTGGTGCATCTCAGCTTACTGAAACAATGACTGCTGTATGTTCCTAGGAAAAAGACGGGGCTTTCCCCCTCTCAAAAAAAAACCCCAAACCAACAATGAAAAGGGATCAAGTCCCGAACCTCTTCTAGCTATTGCGAATAAAACAGCTAAGCAGCTGAACAGATTGCCAGTTTTTCTGGGTGTAATTCTTAAATTTTAAGTTCCGTTCACCTTTCTACATTGCCTTTCTGTTTTCTTCCAGAAATACGGGGTCATGTTGTCCCAAATCCTTGCACTGCTACAAATGTCCTGGGTAAAACAGGCAAGATATGGTGTAAGCTACAACCCATCAAAATTTATCACAGGAAAACAAGTTAGTTGAAGGAGCAATAGAATGCACCTCCTGTGTGGAGCCAGATGCTCTGTCTGCAGTGATTTAGCTCTAGGTGGCTCATGAGCAAGCAAATGTTACAGTCTAATGCACGCTTGTGAGATACGGGCAGGGGGAAGGTACTCACCAGCTGAATGTGACACACAGAGATCACCTCCTCCTACATCACGGCAAAGACATCCGTTTTGACTGTTTCGTATCTGGGCATGGCAGTGCAAGGTAATTTAGGATGGAAAGTTAGGAGAGTGCTTTATAAAACTGTTTTTTGATACTCCCAGACTCAACACCAGGGTCACTGGGACTTGCAGAGGCAGAGAGATGTTTCTGGGAGGAAAACCGATGAATTCGCCGATCCATTATTTTAACTTTTCTCAACCTTTTGACTAAAAACTTTCTAGCAGCCTTACAGAATTTAAGTTGCCTGCAAACAGGGTTGTCTCCCCTGGTTACTTTCCACAGACCCTTTAGAAGTAGTCCACAACCCACAGGCTGGAAACAAATCTTGGAGTGAGAAGAGGTAACATTTTAGGCTGTGTTTCCACAGGTAAGAAAGACTTGTGGGCTCCCATAATAGAGAAGAATACCCTGCTCCTTTCCTCTTCCACGGCTCTCTGCTCCTACCTCTCTTCTCAACCTGAACTCCAAGCCACCCTGAGCAGGAGCTTTGTAAAGTGTAATTGAAGGGACTGTGCATAGTGAGCATGGTATAATAAATATTCTCCCCTCAGAACTATCGTACAGGAGCAGTAATACTCAGTCCTTAAGAATCATAGAATCATAGAATAGCTTTGGTTGGAAAAGACCTTTAAGGTCATCGAGTCCAACCTTTAATCTAACCCCGCCATGCTTTATAAAACTGTTTTTTGATACTCCCAGACTCAACACCAGGGTCACTGGGACTTGCAGAGGCAGAGAGATGTTTCTGGGAGGAAAACCGATGAATTCGCCGATCCATTATTTTAACTTTTCTCAACCTTTTGACTAAAAACTTTCTAGCAGCCTTACAGAATTTAAGTTGCCTGCAAACAGGGTTGTCTCCCCTGGTTACTTTCCACAGACCCTTTAGAAGTAGTCCACAACCCACAGGCTGGAAACAAATCTTGGAGTGAGAAGAGGTAACATTTTAGGCTGTGTTTCCACAGGTAAGAAAGACTTGTGGGCTCCCATAATAGAGAAGAATACCCTGCTCCTTTCCTCTTCCACGGCTCTCTGCTCCTACCTCTCTTCTCAACCTGAACTCCAAGCCACCCTGAGCAGGAGCTTTGTAAAGTGTAATTGAAGGGACTGTGCATAGTGAGCATGGTATAATAAATATTCTCCCCTCAGAACTATCGTACAGGAGCAGTAATACTCAGTCCTTAAGAATCTTGAGGCCCAGAAGAAAAATAAAGCAATAAAAGTTCCTTTCATTAGTTTAAGGTTGTCTCATTACACAAGGCAACCACAACTTAATTACCACCACCCCGAAACAGGTTTTTTTAACACCTACCGACAGTAAAATAACCCTGGCTTTAATTACGGACAAACACTAATACCTCAGCCAGGTTACAAACCTCTGAGAACCACCAGAGCAAGAAAAGTTGATCAGAAATAAATGTCCCTCACTCACCTAGTCTTCCTGCTCCCTTTATCATTTAAAGTATCATTAACCTTGCAAGCTAAGCATTTTTGCAACAAGAACCTTTCCTTACTGCAATGAAACATTCACCAGGAAGCTCACATTGAAATATTGAAAGATCATGATCCTTAAAAGCCTTAGATACTCTGCCAACGTAATTCTTGGAAAAGTTTAATAAAAACCCAAAGAAAGGTCATGGTAAACTTACACACTCTAAACCACCTCAGAAATGCAAAATCACTTAAGTGAAGAACTTGCCATGCTACTTACAGACCTGGCTAGTAACTGCAAGAAAAGAAACACAATTACTAGAAACAAAAATTCACTGAATTCTAATGTTGGTGTGCTATCAGTGTCACTAGACTAGCCCCTGGAGCTGTGAATACCCCAGCTATGCTAGCCCATTTTGTGCTAACTATCCTGGCAAATAGCAAGTGCTTGGAGCATTCAGCCAATTAAACAATCTAGCCAATATTGGGTAAGTAAACAGCCTGAGTAAGAGGGTTACATACCCCAGCCAACTCTGCTTACTGCCAAGTGATCTTTCTGGATGATCAAGACAAACTCCCTGCAGTAAGTCAGCACGAAGACAACAAGCACACAGCTGGTAACAAAGCAGGTCGTGTAAGCAGTACTAGCACGGTCTGCACCTCCTGCAGAAAATCTCCGAGGACTACAATAGCAGGGGATGTTATGAAACTCTCCTCCAGGAGGCAGCTCCAACACAGCAAATTAAATGTAAAATGATTCTCATGTCTCTTAATCAGCTTTGATTAAACTCAGTGCAAGACAAAGGCTAGAAGGGGCACAGCTCACAGTTGCCAGAAGTACAGGTGTTCCTCTCCTCCTGGTTACTCTTGCCACGCACTGAATAGTGTGACCAGGAGATGCAACACCTGAAACTCAGCCAGCACAGACACCAGCCTTTTCTAAACACTGCTTTCTGTGAAACCACTCCAGGGGACAAAGTTCCTACTCCTTCTGTGCCTGCAAAACTGCACTGACTGACCACAGACTTAGTACTTACAAACAGAAGTAATTGCATTTTTCTTCTCCAAATACTGTTTTTCACCCCTTATTAGTCAATCCCAGTATCCTTAACCACTCCTCTTTGTATTGACTAGCTCCTCTGCCTTTGCTTTCTCACATTAGTCATTCGCTTTCCGTGTAATGACAGATGCGGCTTTAAAGTATGTCAACACTTACCACTTACAAAGGCATATATTAAGAGATTTATTAATATGCTAGCAAAACATTCTGATATAGATGTCCGTAGTACCTTTGCTGATAATTTTCATATATATACACATACATATACACACACATACATACATGCATATACATACTGACTTCAGCTGATAATTATGATAAGAGTTGAAGTGGCTAGCACAGCCCTGGCTTAAACTTTTATACCAGGTAGAAATAAATACCTTCACTTCCACATTCTCTGTCTTCCCACACCATTGCAATGTTAAAAGATTTAGCATTACTGCATTCAGCATAGCTTCTTTGCTCATCCTTCTATTCAACGTGGTCATGGGCAGATATTTTACTACACCCAGCTGTGCGGAGGAAAGATTATCAGCCCAACACACTTGTCACTGATGCCACATATTTGGCAGATCAGTCCATGTTCAATTTGTTTTATATGAAAATCAACTGCATTTGAGATAATACAAAAGACATCTGCTCGCTGCCTGTTTCTTACCTTATCTACAGAAGAACCTCCATGCATTTGCTTTGATAAAATCAACACAAATTTCTGCAGAGCCCACCCCCCCCAGTTTATGTACCTTTACCTTATATATTTACATGATATGAACCACAATTGAATCCACTTGTAGCACTTACAATCACAGTGTTTTCATTGGAACTGTTCTAGTTCAGAATCATGTAATTGCTCTGCTTTGTGCTTAGACCAGGGCATTGTACAACCAGGGTGGAATTACCTGCTGCTGTTTTAATTCACTCCTCAGTTTCACTTCATTTTTCCCCTCCCAGGTAATTTATCTTACCGTGCATGTATTATGCCCTCTTTTTACCTTTTCCCTCAGCTTCTAATCCTTTTGCCGTTTTACAAAAGGCAAAAAAAAATCTCTTTCCATTGCCCTTCTTTAGCCCATGAGTTGCAATCCCATGTTAAAACTGAAACTCACCAAACCCTTTATTCTCACCAGCATCTCTCCCTGCTCTTGCCCTCCCTACCGCCCCAGCCATCACTTTACCATCTGCACGTCCCATATTTTACCACAGCGAACACCCACCACCCAGAGAGACACCAACCCAGCCAGCAGCTCGGGCCAGAGCTGGTTCATCCCTTCACCGAGCCCCTCGGCCGGGAAGCCGGTCAGCAGAGCCACGGCCTGGGCAAGGGCTTGGGGTTTATCCGCGCTGAGCAGCACCCGCACAAACTCTGGAGAACCTGGAAACTGAGCAGGAAAAAATATCCACATGTGAACATACTTTGAGTAAATAACCAGCGTGCGAGGAAGGGTTAGCTCCTTTCCAGAGCAAAGCGTTTAAATATCGAAGTTCTGCCCTATACCGAAATACAGAGGGGAACACCACAACGCACGCTCGTTTATTTGTGGCGATCGGTAACTGGTAACACGGTCCATGAGGAGGCAAACACCCCCGGCAAGGCGCTTGCCGACCGCCTGTCAAGCTG